CATGTCGCTGTGATGCTGGAAGCTATGCCACTGGTATTTCCAATATCGGCAGGGTTACCATGTTGGACAGGTTTCAGTGGAGCTTTCAGACTGAGACAGCTAGGAAGAAAGGCCTGGTGATCTACTTCTGAAAATTAGCCAAAGAAAGCCGTATGGATCCCAGCAGAACACTGTCTGACTGCTTGCTTTGGACACATCACCAGGAAGGACCCATCACTAGAGGTGGACATCATGTTTGCTGAAGTAGAGGGCCCACCAGGGCATGGGAGACACGCTGTGAGGTGTCCTGGCACATTAGCCACAGCAGTGCCCTCAAACGTGCTGGCGATTGTGAGGATAATGCAGGACCAAGCAGCGTTTTGTTCTGTTACACTTAAGATCACCAGGAGTTGGAATCAACTCGACAACCAACCAATCACAGAGGCTAGGGGGTGGAGTACTCTGGTTGTCTCTGATTGGCCAGGCCTGGGGCGTAGGCCCAGAGCTTGAGCTACAGGATATGTATGTCACCTGGGAAACCCCATAAACGGAGAGTGGGGCTAGCTCCCCAAAGACAAACTGGGGGGCTCTTACCAGAAATACAGGATGAGCCATGGGCAGGCAGAAATAGTGTTCTCCCCCAGGCTTTGTGGCTTCTTGGGTCCATGGGGAGATAGAGACCCCAGGCGGATTGACACAGTTGCCTTGGAGCTAGGAGCCACTTGATAAGCTGTTTAAACCCCAGAGTGACCCTGGGAATGGAGAAATGCACACCAGGAGGAACACGGCAGAGGAGCAGATGCATCGGCCATCACATGTCTATTCCAGGTCAATGCTGGCAACCCTGGGCACATCAGATTCTGCAGAGAGCTTTTCAAGCATTTCAAACATAGTGATGAACAGCAGAGGTGCTGTCCTAGATTAAAAGACGCTAGAGAAACACGACAGTCACAGGCAGCGCACGAAGCTGCACCGGATCCTGGTCGGAAATGATAGAAGGCGTTTGGGGGACACTTGGAGAAACTTGTCGAACTTCATTTTTGCCCATCTCTTAGGTGAAAAAATGGTATCTCAGTGGATTTATGATTATTACTTAGGAGGTTGAGCATCTTTTCAAATGCCTAAGGAACACGTTTATTTCCTCTTCTACTGCCTATTTGGTTAGCCTTTTCCCAGGGTTTTCATATTGGGTTGTTGGGCTTTTTTATTTCTTTGACCTCTTTATATATTAGGGAAAGTGGTCCTTTGTGATATGTCACGCATATGCGTTGTCACTTGTCTGTGGATGTTGTTGCACCTGATTTTGAGTCTGTCTCTCTGCAGGTTGGGGAGGTGCTGGTCCTGCCTGGCTGCCGGGAGCACTGTACGTGCCTGCGTGGCCAGCGTCTCGAGTGCCAGCCGTTCTCCTGCCCACAGGGCACAGGCTGCATCCTGGACGGGGGCGTGCGGCTCTGTGAGGCCAGGGAGGGTGCCACCTGTCGCCTAGTGCCCAGGGGCCTCTTTACCACCTTTGATGGCTTCAGCGGCCTCGTACCCATGCCTTTTATGCCCTGTGCCTATGAGCTAGCCACGCAGGTGGGTGCCAGGTCCCAAGATCCTGACTGGTTCCATGTCATTGCTAACTTCCTGCCCTGTCCTGGCCGCCCTGCCCCCCGACCATGGGTGATTGTCAGCTTCAAGGATGGCTGTGTGGCCCTGGGGCCCAACCAGGAAATATGGGTGAGGGACTTCCCCAATCCCAGCCCAGACCCATGCATAACCTGGCAGGGATTTCTGGGGCCTACTGACCCCTCACTGTCCTTCCAGGACCTTCTAACACTGAACTTTTCTCCCATGACCCTCTGATCCCACATCAGTCTCACCCTAGATGTCTCAGGACCCACTGACCCCACCTTGAAACCTAAGACCTGCTGAACTCCTAGTAACTAATGACTGAGCAGTCAGTGTTATGATGACCTACGGGCTGTGGGGTAGTCCTGGGTGGTGCCAACCATTAAACGTTCGACTACTAGCCAAAGCGTTGACAGTTCAAACCCACCCAGTGGCACCTTGGAAGTCAGGCCTGGTGATCTGCTTCTGAAAGGTCACAGCCTTGAAAACCCTGTGAGGCGGTTCTGCTCTGCACACACGGGGTCACCATGAGTGGGAATCAACAGCAACTAACAACGACAGGCTGTGGGAGCCGAGCAGGTGTCTCCAGCTTAGGAGATCAGGGTGGGCTTCCTGAAGGAGGTGACAAATGAGACCTGAAGTCAGGCAGGGGAAGAGAGCAGGGAGAAACATTGCCAGGAGAGGGGAGAGACTACAGTTGGGAGACTGGGGCGATAAACAATGAGTGCAGAATAACCCACTAAATGTCTGTGGACTTAGGGCCAAGGAATCTGTTAGTGACTTAAGCAATCACAGGGCCCAGGAAGCAGGAAGCAGGGGACAGCACCTGGATTGCAGGGGTGAGGAGTGAGACTTGAACAAGCACAGGCAACAGGCAAAGACAGCTCTTTTGACAAGTCATCCCTGCAGAACAGGGAGAATAAAAATCATCCAGGAAGAGGCAGAGGCGAGGGGTAGCTTAGAACTGACTTATTAGTTTTCAGATGGGAAGAGACTCGGGGACGTGGAAGTGATGATGGGAAAAGGCCAGACAGGGAGAGGTTGGAAATCCAGGGGAGACGACATCTGGCTCCCCAAGGAACGTGGAGGCAGGCTAGCAGCAGCAGAATTGGAATCTGGGCAGGCAAAATGGATAGTACTTACAAATAAGAGAGGGAGAAGTCTGAAATCCCATGTTGAGAAACAGAATCCAGCTGTGCAGTTCAGGGCTTATTGAGGACGTGGGAGGATGGGCCTGGAGAGGAGAGCTGCGGTATCTGGTATGACCTGGCAGAGAAGCTAAGCCAGAGCCTTGGGTGCAAACCCTGTGCCTCAGACTTCTTGTGTAGGCCGGCAAATGACAACTTCTCTCCACGCCTCTGTTTGCTTATCCACAAACAGTGCTGATAAGAATATTTTTCGCCATGTAGGGTGGCCATGAAGGTTGATTATACATGGAAAGTCTTTGGTATACACCAAGTGCTCAGTAAGTGTAAACTGTGATTGCTCTGGGAGCTACGTTTGTATTTACTGGAAGAGGCAGTATACATAGCAGAATAGTTAACAACGCAGGTTCTGGGACCAGACCCTCTGGGCTCAAAACCTCGCTCTGACATTTCCCAGGTGTGTGAACCTGGGCAAGGTACACTACTTCTCTGGGTCTCAGTCTCCTCATCTGTAAAAGGCAAACAGCACTGTGCACCGAGCTTGTCAGAGTGTTGCGAGAATTAAACAGCAACTATTATTTAAAATACTAAGCTATTTAATAAAGCAAAATATTTACAATATTCATGTAAATTATGTAAAAATTTTACCCAAAAAAATTACATAAAATACAGAACATAATTAGATGACAATATATTAAAATATCAATTACATTGCATTACATTTTATTTTATTAATATACTGTTTCATAAACCAAAACACCGTTTGCCATCCAGTCAATTCCGACTCAGGGCGACCCTATAGGACAGAGCAGAACTGTCCCATACGGTTTCTAAGGAGCAGCTGGTGGACTCAAACTGCCAACTTTGGTGAACAGCTGTAGCTCTTAACCACTGCGCCACCAGGGCTCCATATACTGTATCATACATTATAAAATAATAATACAATATTAAAACAGAATATTAAGTGCTCATTGAACAATTATTAGATTAGGAAAATAAAGTTGAGAGAGATGTGATAGGTTCAGAGGCCTTTTTCCTCTAAAGCTCCCCTTTAGAAGTGTTTATTACAGAAACTTGCAAGCATCACAAAAGAAAATAGTGTTATGAAGCCCCATGAACCCATCACCCAGCTTTAACAGTTACAAATACCTTGCCATTCTTGATTGCATCTTTTCCTCCCATTCTTTTTGTTTGTGCTAGAGGGTGTTAAAGCAAATCCCATACCGTACTCTTTTAGAAAAGACCTGGGTATGTATTTCCGATAGAGGCACCCCCGGCAGGACTCGCAGTGGTTTCGGGGCCCCCCGCGGCTCCCGGACCCGCCCTCACGCCCGCCCCTGACCCAGCTCCCCTCTCCACAGGTGAACGGGCGGTCCACGCGGCTTCCGGCCCAGGTGCGCAGGGGCGTGGTGGTGCGCTGCGCGGAGGGTTCGGGGGTTGTCATCGAGCGGTCTCCAGGGCTCCGAGTGCTGGTGGGACCTAAGGGGGCCGTGGCCCTGTGGGCCTCCCCGGTGCTGCGAGGACGCCTCCAGACAGCCTGCGGCAACTACAACGGAGTCGCGGCCGACGACCTGATGCTCCCTGGAAGGCTTCGGGCCAGCAGCCTCGACGCCCTGTTCCGGGCGTACGGGACGCGGAGCTTCAACGACTGGGGAGGGCTTGCAGAAGCCGCCCGGGACTTGGGAGGCCAGGCCCCGACTCCCACCGGCAGGGGGCGCGACCAGCCCAGCTCCCCGCGCCCCAGGCTGCCTTGGCCGGCCGGGCGCCCAAACCCTCTCCGCGCGTCTCCCCGCAGCACCGACAAACTAATCCCGCCGGCCGAGGATCTCCCCACGTGACCCTGCCCTTCCCGACCCAGACCTGCCCGGGGGGAAGGAACGCAGGGAGCTTCCGAGATGTTTCTAATAAATAATGACAAAACGTGCGCGTGCCTGCCGTCTCCTTGCCTCGCCCTGGGGACGGCACCTCCAGCTCCCTCCTCTCCCCTCTGACCCAGGACCTAAGTGTCCACGCGCCTAGTCCTCTCCTTCTCCCCCGGGAGAACGACATCCGCTCAACAACACCGACTTCCTACGGGCCAGAGATTGCAGCGAGCGAGCCAGAGGCTCCGCCCCCTGCTCCCGACCCATTGTGACGTGACGGCATCGCTAGCCAATGGGGCGTGACGGCGCCGGAAAGAGCTCTGCGGGAGGCGGGGGGTGGTGGGAGAAGAGGCGCCCGGAGCCGAAGCGTGCGTTCACGTGACCTCCCGCTTTCGCTAACTGCTGCGGCCGTGTAAGGGGCCGAGGTGCGCGGCAGCTGCCCGCCGGCCGCCATGAGCAGGCCCAGCCGGCTGCAGAGGCAAGTTCTGAGCCTGTACCGCGAGCTTCTGCGCGCCGGGCGCGGGAAGCCGGGCGCTGAGGCCAGGGTGCGGGCCGAATTCCGCCAGCACGCCTGCCTGCCGCGCTCCGACGTGCTGCGCATCGAGTACTTGTACCGCCGCGGACGGCGCCAGCTCCAGCTGCTGCGCTTGGGCCACGCCACCGCACTGGGCGCCTTCGTACGCCTGCGGGGCCCGCCCGGGGAGCCCGGCGGTGTGGGGGCCCCGGGGAGCCTGCCTGACGATGGGGACGGTCCGAGGAGTCACCTCGAAGGCGCGAGGGCCCCGGAGACACCGCCCAGCGGGCGGTGACAGGCAGAAAAGCCCGTTCGCTGGAGCCGGGGGGAACACCTGACTGCGCGGGGGAGCTGGGGAGCCTTCCTAATGGACGGTTAGGGGTCTTCAGCGCCTAGCTTACCGATTAGTGGACTCAGAGCTCCCCCGACGGCGTGGGAGAGAGGCCCGTGATGGACTGCGGGATGCCCGCTGCGTGATCACCTGTCGGACTCCCTGCCTGAAGGCTTGCGGTGGGCCGGGGCGCCCGCTGGCTGGACAGTGTCAAGCTGAGAGCTCCTTACCTGAAGGCATGGGGAGCGGGGACGCCTCCGTTCTGGACGGAGAAGAGGCCGAGACACCCCTCTTGATCTCTGACAACATTACCACCCCTGGTTCCCAGAGGTTACTCTCCTTTCCTGTTATTTAACTCTGAGAAGAGCAGACTTTTCGCTGAGAAGGAATTTGGGAAGATACCCCGATGGACGGTGAGAAGCCTGGGACCCCCGTTTAGAAACTCCTTCTGCCATGATTGTGACAAACCACGACCGGTCAGGAAGGAGTTAGGGATCTCACCCCAGCTCACCAACTCACGACCTCTACTTGATGGTTCTGAGGGTTGTCTCAGACCCCTGCACACGCACACACACCCAGGGCTGTTGAACAAAGGGAATAAAATTAAGGATGTGCTTACTTCCCTGCTGGTGGTCTGAAGAATTTTATGTGCTTGGGGATTATTTAAGAAGCACCTCACACATACCCGTAAGTGGCCCTCTGGGAGGGGATGGGTGTGGAGAGCTGTCTCTTCCCCTCTGGAATCCTCTAGACTGGCCGACTGGTTGAAGCAGCGGAGTTCTCTGTCCTGGGCAGATCCAGGGAAGGGCTAAGTGGGGCAACATCATAAGTGCTCGAGGGGATCCGGGTTAAGTGCGTGCCCGGGAGCCCAGCCAGGGCTCCTGCCCCTGTTGCTGAGTCTGATTCTGCTCCACTTCCCATCCCAGTACCTTAAGCTCTTGGGAGGGAGATAAGCTTCGACAGGTGACACTGGGCATGGGACTCCAGGACTAAGCCCTGGCGATTCAGCCTGGTGTTGTCAAGACCTGGGGAAGGGGTGTTTCACAGTTGTGGACCAGTCAGGGCCCAGCCCAGAAGCTCAGCACGTGGAATGTTTGAACAGGGCATCTGTACAGATGCGGGTCGGGGGTATAGGTGCTGCTGGCACCCTGCTCACATCTCCTGAACCCTTCCTGTCCTGTGGCAAGCACCTGTGCATCTTTGCCTGAGGGTCTTCACAGGCAGGACAAGCTGGAGTGCTGGGGACTTAACGTCTCCAAGATCAGTCCTCGGCCAGCGCGACATGGAAGCTATGATATAAATGCCGCAGCTTCCTCACCCCGCGGGTGGAACGTCACCCACGTTCCTCAAGTCTCATCCACTCACCTAGTACTGGCTTCCTCCCCTCCCTGTTTTACCTTCCCCACTCCCTACCGGTCTTCCTAGGATCACCGTGAAGATAGACAGCAGATAAGCTATGGGTGCTTGAATCTCTGCCTCAGGGTTTGAGACATGCTGATTGACCAGTTCTGTGTTCTGTGCTCAAAGCCAAGGGGTCTGTGGAGACAGGCAGGGGTATGTGTGCTCAGGGAGGGGCTGGGATCTAGATTCGGGGTACTTCAGCACCCAATAAGGAGTCCTGGTTGCGCAGTGGTTAAAGCGCTCGGCTGCTAATTGAAATGTTGACCATTCAAATCCGCTGGCCACAGCTCCTTGGAAACCCTGGGGGGGGGGGAGTTCTCTGTCCTGTAGGGTCGCCATCAGTCAGAATGAACTCGACAGCAGTGGGTTTGATTTTTTTGGGAAGCACTCAATAAGGAGCCTTGGTGGTACGCTGGCTGAAGCGCTCTTGGCTGCAAACTGAAAGGTCAGTGGTTCGAACCCACCAGTTGCTCCCAGGGAGAAAGATGTGGCGGTCTGCTTCCATAAAGACTACAGCCTTGGAAACCCTATGCGGCAATTCTACTCTGTCCCGTGGGGTCGCCATGAGTCAGAATTGACAGCGATGGGTTTTTGTTTTTCCGGAAGCATCCCATATCCTCACACATCCTTTGACTCTCGCCATCTGCTCCACGTCTGGGCTGTCTACTCAGGTTGGGGGGGGACCACTGACATAGCTGAGCACCAGGTAGGGGGTCCTGGCCAGTCGGGCGTGAGAGCAGCAGAGGCCCCCTGCCATGGGCAAGAGCAATGTGGCAGCCACCAGGAGGAAGAAGAGGAGGATGAGGAGGAAGGTCAGAGGCCACCTGGACACAGAAGCAGCAGCTCTGCAAAGGGAAATATGGTGTCAGATATATGGGTGTGCTGCCCCCAGAGCCCTGCCCCCATACCCCAAAGCCACCTCTCAGGCGTCTCACCCAGGATCCACCTCCAGCATCACATCCTGGGGACTGGGGGGTGCTTGCCTCTTCTTGTCCTAAAGGTAGACAGCCACCAGCAGCAGGACAGAAAGAAGTAACACTCAGTGTGGGTCTCCCTTTACAACTGACCCACAGGGCTGGGCTTCTTTTTCCTCCTTTCCTAACACTCCCTCTGTCCCCACTGTCAAGGATTGAATTGTGTCCCCAGAAAATGTATGTCAGCTTGGCTAGGCCATGATTCCCAGTATTGTGTGATTGTCCACCATTTTGTCATCTGATTAGATTTTCCTATGTGTTGTGAATCCTACCTCTGTGATGTTAATAAGGCAGGATTAGAGGCAGTTATGTTAACGAGGAAGGACTCAATTTACAACATTAGGTTGTATCTTGAGTCAGTCTCTTTTGAGATATAAAAGACAGAAGCGAACAGAGACAAGGGGACCTCATTACCACCAAGAAAGAAGCACTGGGAGCACAGCACATCCTTTGGGCCCTGGGTCCCTGTGCTGAGCAGCTCCTAGACCACAAGAAGATTGATGACAAGGACCTTCCCCCAGAGCAAACAGAGAAAGCTTCCTCTGGAACTGGTGCCCTGACTTTGGACCTCTAGCCTCCTAAACTGTGAGAGAATAAATTTCGGTTTGTTAGAGCCATCCACTTGCGGTGTTTCTGTTACAGTGGCACTAGATGACCAAGACACCCAGCATATCTCCAAATGGGCTGGATGTTTTGTTTGTGCCTGCCCTCCATTCAGTCTTCTTTTTCCTGGTAACAGTGGCAGTTTGGGGAGGGGGGCAGTCAGGCCTCAGGTTCAGCAGAGGACCTCCCCACTTCCATAACTGGACATGTGGCCCAGATCTAGCCAATCAGAGCACTCCACCAACCTGGTTCAACATACAGCCCATGACCCAAGCTGGGCAAGTGGGAGTCAGCCCTGGGACTCCGGCCGTTGTCAAGAGGAGAGGCCCTCTTCTTCCCCTGAGGTGGGTGACCCAGTGGGAAGGGAGCGTGTGGCTGCTGAGGCGGTCTTGTTTTCTGAGAAGGAAGCCACCTTGGGGAAGTGCTACCAACAGAGGCTGAGACTGAGCCCTAACAGTATTTCAGGTCCTGAACTTGGCAGTGCCTGGATTTCTCAGTTACATGGAAAACATACCATCCCCCTTTTTGTCGAACTCAGTTTGGGTTGGTTTTCCATCACTTGCCATCAAGACTTCTGAGTGTTATACCTGGCTGAGGACCAGCTCACCTGAGGCTTCCGGATCAGGGAGCGTCTTCGGTGACCTGGTAAGTGTTTCCGGGGGCTGAGGCCCAACCTGAGCACGTCCTGTGAGGAGAAGGAGGTTTGGGATTCCCCGGAGAGCTGGCAACAAAGAGGCACGAGGTAGGGGAGGGCCTAGGATTGGGGGTGTCATAGAGATGAGATTTTGGGGAAGAGAGAGATCTCAAAGAGGCAAGAGAGGGACAGAGCCGAAGAAACCAAGAAAGAAGAGACATTATTTATTCATTCAACAAATATTTAATGAGGGTCTGTTACACGCCAGGCGCTGTTGTGGGAGCTGGGGACACACGGGGTGGAAAGAGGTGAAGTCCCAGGCTCACGGAGCTCAGACTCTAGCAGGAGAGACCGTGAATGAATGAGCGAAGGTACAATGTCCAGAGGTGGAAGTGCTGTGAGGAGAACAGATCAGAGGCTGGTGGTGCCTGCTGGCCAGGACAGACCTCTGAAGAGCTGGCCTGGGGCAGGGCTGGAAGGCAGCCAGGGGCTGAGCTGGGGATGCACCGGGGGGCCTGGAGCGGGGAGAGAATGTGGAATGTTTGAAGCGGAGCCAGGCTGCTAGTGTAGCTGCAGCAGGGTGAGTGATGGGGGAGTAAGAGGAAGTGAGGCTGAGGATGCAGCAGAGACGGATGGGAGAGAGGGAAGCAGAGTGAGACAGACACGTGCAGGGACTGAGAAAAACACCAAGACCCCAAGACAGAAAGAGATACCAAGAGACAGAGACGGGGAGACACAGAGACATCAAGACCTCCTGGAAAGGGACCCTGCTAGAGGCACACAGGTGACCTATGGGTGCCCCCCTGTTCTCACCTCTGGGTCTTGTCCCCTTCCCTGGGGGCCCCTGTGGCCACACAGCTCACAGGGGGCCCCTGGTGTCCGGACTGCCCTTCGGCCCCAGGGCCCAAGGCCCCCCACGTCCCCCGCTGGGTCCCACTCCAGCTCTGCAGGGATGGGGACACCACCGGGTGCCCAGGGCCCCCAAACTCCACCAGGTCCTGGCCCGTCTAAGTCTCCTTCAGCCTCCAAGTCCTGGTCCAGCCAGTCAGCCTCCTCAGACACCTGGATCAGAGGACAGAGGCCATGGGGGCTGGGATTGGGGCCCGGTCCAGAGACCACCAGGGTGGGGCATACCAGGCTGCGGCTGACCAGCTTGGCCTGCAGCCGCCACAGCCGCTGGAAGATGCTGTCTCGCTGGGCTCTGAGGACCCTCAGGACCTGCTCGCGGGATGCCTGGGCCAGAAGCTCACGCCGCTGTGCCAGCCCCTCACTGAACGTCAGCAGTGCATCCACACTCTCGGCTGCCCCGCGTAGGTCTGCCTGCAGGGCCTGGGGACACACGGTTGGACGTCACCCCACACATACACTAGGGGGCCGGAGACTTGGGATCTGGAGTAACCACCCCCCATTTCCCATCCAAAGACTTGGAACGTGGAATAAGCCCTTATTTCCCACCCCAGGAAGCTCGCTCCCACCCCTGGGGCCCTGCCCACCTGCCCACATCTTGGCCCCCCGCCCACCCACCTGCAGCTGGACCGTTCCACTCTGGGCCGATGCCATGGGCCCCAGGCCTCGATCCAGGTCCCGCAGCTGGAGGCCCAGCCCAAACAAGCAGAGGTCCAGGCTTTCCTGCTCAGCCTCGAATACCTCACGGCCAGAGATGAGGTGCTAGGGAACACAGGGGGCCGGATCAGGGCCAGCGGGCTGACCAGGACCGCCACTGCCACGCCACTTCTGCAGGCTCCTTCCTGCTGGGTGATCTGTCTGCATCGGAGTCCATCTCTGGGTCCGCACCAGGCCTGGGCGGTTCCTACCTGGGGCCCCTTCCAGCGGAGCCAGACTTGGGGACCTCTCAAGGCCTCCAGGTGTTCAAGCTTCCCAGAAAGTCGGATATGCTGGGCCTGGGGGTTTAGACGGGGGTGGGGCGTGATGGGGCTGTACCGGGGCCAATGCTGAAATACTTCTCTCCCATGTGGTAAAAAATACTGAAATACTTCTAATCTAGTTGGTAAAGAACCATTTCCCTGAGCCCCTCTGTGTCCCATCCCCCCAGCTCCTGCACAGATGCCCAGCATTTTCCAGAACCATCTCCTACTCCCTGGTGTGGACAGTACATTCGGGGGGACAAAGAGGAAGTGGGGGCTGGCACAAGAGGCGAGGACCACCTCAGCTCACCTCCCAGTGTCTGCCCCCGGCTGGGTCCTCATGGGCAGAGGGCGTTGGCAATCTTGGGGGGCTGGTGGCAGGTTCAGCGCCTCTCAGTCCACCCTGGAAGTGGTCGAGAGGGTCCAAGGAGTCCTGCCCCAGTTTCTGGGCCTGCTCTGGCCTGGGTGGTAGGGGGCATTTGAGGAGTGAGCCTCAAGCTCCCGCCATGTGCCCCACCCTGCCTCCCACATCCCCAGGTGATCACAGCCCCCCTTTCCACCCTCACGGGGCCCTTGCCCCACTCTCCAGGGACCCGAGCTTCCAAAGCCCCAGCCCCCACCTGAATGCCTCCTCTTCAGATGCAGAGCAGATGATGCATTCAGCAATGTCCGGTTCCCTAGGGGCTCCAGGGGGGTGGCTGAGGGGCTCTGATGGGGGTCTAGGGTCTGGAGGTAGGGGCAGGGCCATAGCTGGGGGCCTGGGGACAGTCAGGTAAGGACCCTCAGTAAGACACTTTCCCTAGCCACAGACGTCCCCCCAAGACCTCCTCAGCAGAGCTTACCTAGGCTTGAGGCAGGCAGAGAAGCCCAGGTGCAGGCCTGGCTCCACCCCATCCAAGTGGAAGGTCGACCCAGGTAATCTGATGCCCAGCTCAGGTGACAGCTGCACCACTTAACTCCTTCCTCCCCAGGCTCAGGAGGTGAGCCTCCCAATCCCAGCCCACTCCATCCTAAATTCCGGACATAATCCTGCACCCCTTCCCCCCAGGACCCACCCCATCCACTGAAGGTCCCAGATGCTGCGCGCCTCAGGAACCCAAGCATCTGGTTCTCACCCCAAAAATCTAAAACCGAAGGAAGGTATTTTGGGTTTATTGGGAACAGGGTTTTTCTCTGGGTTCCCACGGAGTTACTGGGTTAATAAATAACCTGAGGAACTACCCCCATCCCAGGGTCCCGAGGCCACTGGGTCACGGCTGCCTCGCGGGTCCAGGTCACTTGCTGAAGAGGGGACCGGCGCGCAGTACCCGGGGCACGCGGCGGATGGTCAGCGAGACGCGGGTGCCGCGGGCCAGGCGGGCTCCGGGCCGCGCCGACGGGCAGGCGGTCGCATTGGGCGGCAAGGAGGTGGCATCAAGCGCGTCTACGCGGGTGGCCGCGATGCCGTGGAGGAGGCGGGTGTAGGCGGCGCCACGGAGCACCAGCAGGCTGCACGGTTCCAGCAGCAGCGAGGTGGTGGGCCTGGGCGGGGGCCGCGGCTGCGGGGTGGATTGAGGGTCAGCAGGTCCCCAGAGGTGGGGAGCGGGGGAGTTCAGCCGACTTCTGAGCTAGGGGCAAGTTTGGTTCCAGGCAAGGGGCTTTGGGGGCCAGGGTTGGGGAAAGGGGGCGAGACGGGGCCAGCAGTTCCTTGGGAGGGAGCGGGAGCTAGGCTGCAGATAGGGGTCCAAGGGTCAGCCCGCCCAGGGCGCTGCGGCTGCGATCTCCAAAGGGCTGGGGTGGGACCCGGGGATCAGCGGCTCCCCGGAAATAAGGTATAGCTGGGGCTCAGAGGGTGTGGCCATAGCCAGGACCTGGGGGGGACAGAGTGAGCCCCAAGGAACAGTTTCTGTAAACATTGAGGGGTCAGAAATGCATCACCCAGAGAAAGAGGTCAGGAAGCTGCTGTCAAGGACAACTCCTAGAGGGGAGTCAGGATATCGGGGTGGGGGGGCGGTCCCTAAGCAGCAAGTCATGTGTCGACGAGCCAAGGAGGAGCTGGGGGTGTCCTGCACCACAGATCCCATTACAGGAATGGCAGGTGGTGCCAGTGCTGAGGTGCCCCGTGCAGCGGGCAGAGTCAAGGTGTCTCGGAGAATGTTGGAACACCCTGTGAGTGAGTAACACTGGGGTATCTGAGAACACTGCAGTGTCTGTCAGGGTGTTGAGGAACTCACATGGGGTATGTGTGGGCCTGGGCTTGTTGGAGCACTCTGAGCACGTGGGGTCAGATGAGCTGTGACGTGTTAGGGACAGCCAGTCAGCAGATGGCGGCATTGGGGTGTCTGTGCAAGCAGATAGGTCGGGGTTTCTGGGAGATGTGGGTATACACGAGGGAGCAGGAGGTGTCTGGGGGGTGTCAGGGGAACGGGGGCGTCTTGCAGGATGGGGATGTCGGGTGCCCACGGTGGGTGGGGCGGCGTCTCAGGACCCACCTGCTCTGGCACGCCATCTCTGTCCGGCTGCCACGGCTCATAGAGGTCCAGCACGGTGTGGGAGCCCAGGCTGATGGTGCTGATGGTCGGGTAGTACAGCGGCCCGTCCTCGTGGGGCTGGGGAGTGGGCACCAGTGCTGGCAGGGCAGGAGTCCACACCCCCCACCCTCTAGGATTAAGGGGGGCTCCCAAGCTGGGGACAGGGAGATGAATGCCTGGTTGGCTTGTGTGGCCGCTTGATGAATGTGGAGGGGGCGTAAACATGATGCCCGCCCCATGGTGGGTCAGCAGTCTGGGGGGATGCCGTTACCACGGGGGGCAGGGTGAGGGTGTGTAGTTACCATGATGCCCTCCCCAGGCAGATACTGGTTCACCAGGACATGGTTGGCTGGGAGACCCCCAAAAAGGCTGAGGTCAGACACTTTGTCCACATAGCGCTGGAGCCACAGGGGCAGTCGCTCAGGGATCATCCCCCGGGGATGGGGGAGCCCACCTGGAGGGGGGCAGTGCAGTCCTGAGGGCACCAGCCAAGGAGCCCTGGCACCTGGAGCCCCCATGAGTGACACCCCAGTGGTCCACAGCACCCTGACCCCCTCAGGGAACCCTGACCCTTTGGAGATCACCACCCAACCTGTACAGTTTTCTTGACTTCTCCAGACCCCTGAGATGCCCCTAACTCATCAGGAAATCCTTAACCCCTCAGGACTTCCACTGACCTTTCAGAATCTTCCTGACCCCTTAGGACCCCTTGAACTCCTAGGTTACCCAACATCTTGAGACAAACTGACCTCAGCCCCATGCCCCAGCTCACATCCCAAAATCATCCATGTCCCCAGCCCAAAGGCCACTTACCCCAGTTCTGTAACTTCCTTCCAGAGAGCTGGGTCCACTTTGGTTTGGGGGCATTGGAGACCTGGGAGGTGAGGAGTGGTTACTCCTTTTCCAGGAACCCCCCTCCCTGATTCTTCCACCCAGGCCAGCATGGATGCCTTTCCACCTGGGGTGGAGATGGGGTACCTCAGTGTCCGTAGGATCGTTCTTTGGGATAGTGTGTTCCTAGGATTTTGCTGTTTGCCTTCTCCCCTGGAGAGGCCTTTGGCCCCAAAGCCTACCTGTGTCTACCGGGATTGAGGAAAGGAACCAGGGTGGCACAATCATGGTCTGCATCTACTCAGAGCTGTGGGGGCTGGACTGGGTTCTTTCAGCCCAGCAAACGGTCTGCACTCTGTAATTTCCTCATTCCTGGGCTAGGTCACACAGTCTGAATTCTGGAACGTCCTTGTTCCTGTTGCTTGGGGGAAGGAGTGTGCTAACCTGGGCTATCTCAGCACAGTGACGAGAGTACTTTGAAATTCCTTCACTGCCAAGATTCCAAGAGTCTAGAATGGGCTATCTCAGTACAAGATATCTATAGTCTATAATCTCATTCACTTCATGGCTATGGGGCTGGACTGGGCTGCTTAAGCCCAGGGATTCTGAGACACATAAATTCTTCAGTCGCAAGAACCCAAAGGTCTGGAATGGGCTATCTCAGTACAAGAATCTGTGTTCTGTAGCTGACTTGTTCCTAGAGCTCAGGCTAGACTGGGCTATCCCAGCACAGAGAAAATGTGTGCTCTGTAATCTCATTCCTAAGGATTTGGGGTTACACAGGGCCATCCCAATGCAAGGACTCTGAGCTTTGTAAGTTCTTTTTTCCCAGATCTTAAGAATATGGACTGGGCTATCTCAGCACAGGTGGTCTCTGCTTGGTCACCTTTTCCTAAGACTTGGGGTCTATGCTAAGCTACCTCGGCAGAGCAGAATCTATTCTGTAACATTCTGATCCCTGGGCTATCTCAGCACAGAAATCTGAACACTGTAAATTCCACCTTCCCCACATCTCCTGGGTTTGAACTGGGCAATCTCAGCTTGTATTTATCACCTTCATTTCTCGGGCTATCTCAGCACAGGGAGCATGAGCTCTGTATCATCCTTGTTCCTGAGACACTGGGCTTGCACTGGGCTATTCCAGCACAAGGAATATCATCTCAATAACACCTTCGTTTGGGGGGCTAGACTGGGCTATCTGAGCTCCACAATAACCACCTCCTTTCTAAGGATCCGTTTGGTTTCCCTGGGCCTCCTGGAAAAAGCTCTTTCTGACAGATCCCAACAGGTCCTGAGAGAGGAACAGGGAAAGTGAGGATGGATGCTATGTGGCACCCTCCTTCCTGTCAGGTCTTCACTGCAGCCCTGGGGACTCTCACACAGGGGCTGTGGGGGAGGCTGAGGAGGGATCCGGGGACAGGGCTAAAACAGACCAGGAGGGCGTCAGGTCACCTGGCGAAGCAAATACTCCTCCTCTTCCTTGGAGATGAAGTCAGGGACATAGTAGATTACAGGCGGTGCCTAGGATAGAGAGACCACCTCTAAGGTGTGGCCCTTCAACCCACACCAGAGTCCTCTCACTGCTGAGCAGCACCTCGCTCTGGGGCAGAGCTCAGGACATTCCCATACAGGCTGGGGACCAATGTCCACTGAGCAGGAGGGGGCTGGACCCTGAGGGTAAGAATGAATTTGGAGAGAGGGGGCAGTCGCAGCCCACAAACCCAGGAGTCAGCCTATCTATCCCCACCTCCCACCCCTGCCCCCTAGTCCCCCCCTTCACCCTCTGCATCCCCCAGTCTGACAACCTGCTCCACCCTGAATGATTCCAGGGCCGGGACCCTGGCGTCCTGCTCCTCCATTGACACCAACTCCATGCAACCTGTCCTGTGGGGAGGGGAGGACACGCTGAAGTCACCAAGCCTCCCACCCTCCGGCGGTGAGCCAGCCTTTTGCCCCATCCAGGGCCGGGTCTCACCTCAGCCCTCTCGAGAAACTCACTTGGTCTCTAAAACCTGAGTCCTCAGCATCTCGAAAGCCGTACAGTGAGCCCCAAGGCTCCCCGCCCAGACATAATGAGCAGCCGGAACACTCCCCACACTCCCAGGCCTCTCAGAGAACTTTCTCTGACCCCCACACAGGGAGTCTCTCAAATGCTTCGCACATACATAGCCCCCCGGGCTGCACCCCAGAACACCTTTAAGCACCTCAATTTGAGACCTCGACCTGCAACCATGAGCCCGGCTCTCTAACAACACTCAGGGCCCCCATGGAGCCCCTTCAGGCCTCAAACCTCTTCAGATTCCCCATTCCGAGTCTCCCTGTATTCCCAATCCGAGTCTCCTCGGATCCCTCCACCCTGGACCTCCCCAGACTTCCCTTCCCCTAGCGCCCCCCTCACCCCAGCACCGTAGGACCTCTAGCCCTCAGCCTGACCGCTCTCAAACCCTCTGCCCTCCCTGAACCTCTCGGATCCCCCACTGAGTCTTCTAGGGCCTCACACCCTGAGCCTCTCCGAACTCCCACACTGAGCTACCCCAGATCCCCCACTCTTAGCTCTCTCGGACCCCCATCTCCTCCCCCAACCACTTCCAACACTGACCGTCCACCACTGCCCCCTCCAATTTCCAAATTCAACACTCCCCAATCCCTTCCCAGCCACTTCCGCCCCACATTGCTGACGCAAGAATCCTCAGGCCAACGGGAACGCTCAAAGCCCTTAAAGGTCCGCCTTCTACCCAATCGGCGCTCGCACTCAGTAGTCGCCCGCCCCTCCACCCTCGTCAGGGATAGGCTGTGCTGCCTGGCTCCTCAGCCATTGGGTACCCCTTGGTCTCGCCCTGGCCAATCAGAGCTCCAGAAGCGGAGGCGCAGCGTGGGGGCCGCGGGAGGGTTAAGGAGTGACTGTTAGGACTTCTCGCAGGCTAGACCATCCCGTGCCCGTGCCCCAGGGAGGCGAGACTGAAGGAAAGACTTCCTCTCTCATCCTCCCCCAGCAAGGGTCCGGAGGCAAGGCCATAACTTCCCACTGACCCGACACAGAGATGCCATAGAAACGTCTTTATTGAAGGGGGCAGAGATCATGCTGAGTTTGGGGGCATGCAGTGAAGGGGCAGTCGTGAGCTGTCCTCGGTGGTCAAGGCCCCAGGTCCACCCCGGACCCCCTGGGCCTTCAGGTTCTCCCTCATGCTGTTGGTCTGGCCCAGGTGCAGTGTGGTCCTGTGGGGACTCAGATTTGGTGTCTTGCACCTGTGACCAGAAGGTAGATTGAAACAGGGGCTCCGGAATTGGGATCCGCTCAGGGCCTTGGAGCCCTCCATGTACGGGACATGGAGAACTTAGGATTTGGGCTTCCCTTGGGGCTGGGGCTCTTGGGATTTGAGTGTCTTGAGGTCCATGGACTCCGCACTGGAATCCTCCTTTCCGGGAATGGGAGTTCTGTTCGGGGTTTCCTGGGGCCCATGAAGAGGAGCTGAGGTGCCCTGGGAGGCTGGAAGACATATCCCGGACTGCGTCTCCTCCCTCCTAAGTATAAGGACCTCTATGATTAGGGTTTCCTTTCGGGGCTTAGGATTGGATTTTTAAATTTGGGATTCCCTGGGGATTTGGAGATTCAGTGATTTGGGATACCTGGGAGTTAGGGCCTTGGGGTCTTCTTGGGGCTGTAGGACATGGGAGCACAGGGGAGTTTGGGACATGTATGTTCTGGGGTTTCGGATCCCCAGAGGCCCAGAATGGGGCCTCTAAATTTTGGGGCCCCCCAAAGGGGGAAAATCATTACTTTAAAAATAGAGAATTTTCTGGGAGCCTGGCCAGCACAGGGGGCTGTGGGCCACGTGGGGTGGGCTTCATACAAGGCACTGGGGGTTTCTTGAGGGGGCAGAGGATAGGAAGACTTGAGGGTCCTGTAATTCGCATTTCCAGGACTGTTTTGGTGTCTGTAAATTGGGGGTGACAGTGGGCTGTTTAATGTGGATCTCGAGGGTTAAGAACGGGTTTGTTAATGGGTCTCTAATTGGGGGTTGGACTGTGAAGGCTTCAGGGTGAACATGGGGTCACAACATCTCAAGGGTGTGTATGTTACAGTTACATGGAGAATAGTGACTCAAAGGTCATTACTCTGGAAGTGTGATGTGTTTATTTCAAGGGGACTTGTGGAGTCTGTCCATGGGAGCGTTTCTGATCCAGTGGCGAGTGGCTAAGGAAAGCTCTGCTGTCTTATATGGAGAGGGTCACTGCCATTTGCGGTAGTGTGAAGTCTGTTCACTGGGGGTCTGCTGTGAGGGGCTGGGGCTGGGGACTAGCCTGAAGGTGCTATACTCAGGGAATCTCTTTCTGGGTGACACGGGGGTCTGTATCTGGGGCGTTATCATGAGGGAATCTGTTAATAATGGGGCCTCAGTGATTGAGGGTCGGCTAATGGGGGTCTCTATTCTGGATGTTACTGGGGATCTCTATCTCAGGGTAGAGGGGCTCCTTGTCTCAGGAGACGCTAGAGGGGGCTCTGTGTCTCTCAGCCAAGTATGCAGGGCCTCTACGACTGCATCTCCGCCCTCAGCATCCACGGAAACCAGCAACAGAAGAGCAACCTGGAAAGAAGCAGACCCCTCCTGACGCAGAGCGCGGACCCCTCCGGAGCTGCCCCTCCTGACGCGGAGTGCGGGCCCCTCCGGAGCCACCCCCCTCTAACAAGGGTTTGGAATTTAGCTTTTATGGACTGTCTTTACCTCTCTGGCTGGGCCTTCCCAGGCTTGTGAGGGGAAAGGGAGGTCTTCTGCTTCCTCTACCTGCCCTTCGAAGCTGAAGTCACTGGAATTCAGTGCGGGGCCCCACTCCATAAAGACTGTTACTGAGTAAGCTTACCTAGTTATGACTTTCCTAACCTCTGTTTCCAGCCCCGACCTCTCTTCTGAGCTGCAGGAGCCCAGCGGCCTTGTGACGCCTCTTCCTAAACATCCCACAGGAGACAGGGCTCGCTACACACCTGGAGATGGAGTTCTCTGACGTGATGTCCTTTGGGGTACGGACTGTCGTGAAGGTACGTTTGGGCTGCGTCACTGGAGAGCAGGGGAGGGCAAGGTCTTAGGTAAGGGGTTGACAGATGGGGCCCCATATCACCCCTTGGACCTGATGTACCCTGCTGGCTCAGACACCTGGATCCTCTAGCTCACCCCGACCTGCTCAGACCCTGTGGTTCCAAGCCCCTCACAGATCCTGGGTTTGTAACACCCACCTGGATCCTTGTCATTTACATTCACTGAGCCCCCACATCCCCAGTGTTCACACAGATCCCACATCATGAACACCCACCCACCCTTGTTATTAACATGGCCCCAGTACTCACCCAGACTCTTTGGCATTAATACCTACCATTTTCCCAGTAATGACTTGTACCCCATTTCAGTAATACCGGCCCCTTATCCCAAATGCCTACCCAGACCCCTTATTAATAGCCACCTGTGTCCTCAATACCCACCCAGACTGCTTGCCATCAATACCCATTCACGTCCCCAGTACCCACCTGAATCCTTTGTCACTAATACTTACCCATGTCCCCAAAGCCTACCTGGACCACACATTCCCAGTATCCATCGACCTCTTGCCAATAATCTCTCTGTCATCAACACTTACCCGTGTCCCCAGTACCCACAGACTCCACGTCCCCAATGCCTGCCCCAAGCCTTGTTAACACCCCCAGACCCACAGCACCTACTCACCCCGGGACCCTGTCTCATCATTTGCCTGAACCTTACGTCCCCAGTTACCTACTGGAGATTGTCACCAGCATACACCTAAGAACCCAGGACCCTGCCTCCCACCCTCAGACCTACACTCATCTCCACACCCTAGGTCCCAACTCACTTGTCACTTGATGCACTTTTTTTGTTCCGACGCTGTCCCCCGGAGGGTCAGCGGATCCACCAATCCTGGGGAGACAGAGTGGGAAGGGTCAGATCCGCAAGAGGTGGGGTCTGACTGGGAGCTGAGCCCCAGCACGTCTGTGAGCAAAGAGGTGGGGTGTGGGGGGATCCACATTGCCCTCAGGTCCAAGAGGAGGGGGACCACCTGAGGGGGGTCAGGACTCTGAGAGGTGCGCTGGGTGGAGGGCCAAAGTCTGGGCTCACCTCTGGATGCGGGATGCTGGCGCAAAGACGCCGTGCCTTGGGGGGCAGGTGAAGTACCTCACGCCAAACACCGAGCCGTCATGCTTGCCCGTGGGCTGGTCCAGCTCGATGCCATACCAGTAACCTGCGGCAGGCAACTGTCAGGATGCCTTGCAGCCCTGTCTGGTCCCCAGCCTAGAGTCCCGCCCTCACCTGGGGCAAAGTCTGTCTTCCCGTAGAAGCGCACAATCCCCTGCTTCTGTCCTGCGACCAGGACTTGGTCTCCGACTTCTGCCTTGGCACCCTCTCGCTGCTGCAGGCTGCCCAGGGACGGTGAAGACGGGGACTTCTTCCTGCCTGGAGCGGGGGGTGGGGGGACACGGGCAGGGTGGGCCACCAGCCTGGAGACCCCGTGCCACCTGGAAAACTCCACTGGAGGCATCCTGTCCTGGCTCCAATCAGGGGAATGCCAGAGTCTGCCCCAGAACTGGGGCATTTTGGGCTTAAAGGGAAATTGAATCCCTAACACCAGAAAACTCCATCCCCAGAACTACGGGGGAAATTCAGGCATGGGGAAACTGAGTCACAGAACTGAAGAACCCCAAAATCCTTTCTCAGAGCTAAGATAAGGGTCAAAGGAGAAACTGAGTCACATAATTCAGGAACCCAAAAACTATCCTTTTAAAATAAAGGAGGTTTTGGGTCTGAGAATAAATCAAGTTACAAAGGCTGGGAAACCCAGAGGCCTTTGGAGCTCAAGGGAAATTAAGTCACAGAAGGCAGGGAACCCACAGGTGCTTCTAAGGACTGACGGAGCCAGAGAAATCAGGAACTCAGAAATTGTCCTCTAAAGTTGTAGTTTGCCTCTGAGGAAAAATCAGGTCACAGAAACGGGAGGACCCACGGAATACCCTCAGGACTGCCTCTCCCGCTCGAGGGCTCCCCCTGACCTTTGTGCTCCCTACGGCCTTTGCCAGTGACGCGGGAGAAATCCATCCGGGGAGTCCGGGGCGTGGAGGTGACGGATGAGGGCGGTGCATCCACTGCCTTGGAGATCTTGGACACAGAGGCAAACAGACCTGGGGGGACAGAGCTGGGCTGGGAGTTGTCCGAGCCTCTGCCCTCTGCCCCCCCATCATTTCCCACCCCCTTTACCTGGTCAGCAGCATCAGAACTGCTGAGAGGACCCCTCCATCCCCACCCACTCCCCTGGGGCCCCTGCTGGTACTGACCCTGCTTGGGGGGGCAGATGAAGTACCGGACACCCCCCACACTGCCATCGTTCTTCCCCTCAGGTTCATCCAGCTCCACGCCCACCCACTGGCCGCTGGCGAACTCCGTGGTCCCGCAGAACCGCAGTGTGCCCGTCTGGGGAGACAAGGAGGGATATGGCTGAGGGGCCCTGAGAGGTCAGAGTGGACCACTGGGGCAGAGGCAGCGTGGTGGGGTAGGTGAGGGAGCCCTGGGTTCACATCTCAGCTTGAACATCACCGTTTATTGGCTATATAGATAACTTTACCTTTCTCCTCAATTCCTCATCTATGAAACAGGAAGAGAAATAGCACCCACCTTATAAAACTGTTACAAAGCTGCCCTGCCTATAGGGTCGCTATGAGTCGGAATCGACTCAACGCTAACAGGTCTCGTTTTGGTTTGTCTCATATAGTAAGTAGCTACTAGCTACATGTAACCATTTAAATTTAATTAAAAATCCGTTTTCCAGTCACACTTGCCACGTTTAAAGTGCTCCAGCATTTTAAGTCATTTAACTCTCACACAACCCCGTGAGCTGGGGACTATCATTAACCCCACTTTACAGACGAGAAAACTGACGTCCAGAGAACTGGAATCACCGGCCCCAGGTCCGGTGGCAAAGGTGAGGTTTGCCTGAGCAAATCCCCGGTCTGAGCCCGTAACCACTGTGCTATGCGGTTTCTCTAAAGGGCAGAGATTGTTATTACATGTCTTCAGCGAAGAGTTTCAATCTCGGCGCCTGTTAACAGTCTTCTGGGCTGTAAAATGGGGAGAGTCACCCAGTCTCCTTTCAGAATTACCACATGCATTTGATTAGATCACGTATGGGAAGCTTTCTAGATGGGGCTGACACGCACAAAGCTTTTGATTGAGAAACAAAATTGCAATTCCTTTCAGTGGCCTGCAGGTCTGGTGTGATCCAGCTCCTGCTAACCTCTCCAACTCTCTACACGGGATAACCCCCCTCCAGTCACACTGTCCTTTCCTACCTTTGGGCCTTAGTATCTGCTGTTTCCTCTGTCCCCGTATCTTTGCAAGGTGAGCACCTTCCTATCTCAGCTTAGAACTCACCTCCTCAGAGAGGCCTTCCTGGATCATCCCGGCTAAAACCACCTCTACTCTCAGCCAGAGACCATTTACTGAATCCAGCCATTTAATGAATTGCACAGTCCTTGCTGCCAGCAGAAATTATCTTAAATGCAGTTTTACTTTACTGACTGGTTAGAATTGACTCGATGGTATTGGGTTTGAGCCCTGATGGCACAGTGGTTGAGAGCTTGGCTAGTAACCAAAAGGTCAGCAGTTCAAATCCACCAGCAGCTCCTTGGAAACCCTATGGGGCAGTTCTACTCTGTCCTATAGAGTTGCTATGAGTCAGAATTGACTCGAGGGCAGTGGGTTTGGTTTTTATCCTTCATTACCAATGGAGCTCCATGACAGCAGAGCTGGGATGGACATAGCCCTTTATTGCCAACGATGGGCTGGGTCTAGCGTAACCTGAAGGACACCTGGTAAATGAATGAAAGCTACAATGCCAGGATGTGTAAGATCTCTCTGACCTCTAGGCCTTCCCACCTGATCTTTCTACCTGAGACCCCTTTCTGGTTCACGCCTCCTCATCTTCAAGTTTGGTGGGGGCTCTATTCCAGCCTACCCCATCACTCTGGTCTATACTTCTCAAGTCTTGACCACTCTGGGAGTGCAGGTAGAGCCACCACAAGGCCAGCAGGACCTACAGATGCAGTTTCTCTGATCCCTGTTTATCTGCTTCCCCATCACAGCCCTAACCCTCTGCCCTGTGTGCCTCCCGCATCACAGCCCCGACCCTCCGCACTGTGTTTCTCCCCCGTCACAGCCCCGACCCTCCGCCCCGTGCCTCCCCCGTCACAGCCCCGACCCTCTGCCCCGTGTTTCTCCCCCGTCACAGCCCCCACCCTCCGCCCCGTCACTCCCCCGTCACAGCCCCGACCCTCTGCCCTGTGTTTCTCCCCCGTCACAGCCCCCACCCTCCGCCCCGTCACAGCCAAGACCAGTGGAGGCTGTCACTGTCAGGTGAGGACCCTGTCTTCCGTCTAGACTAACAACCCGGCACAGGGTGGATCACAGAAGAGGTGTTCACAGAACAATGCCGGATGAAACAGTGGACTGTGAGAATGATTGGTGGGCGGGGCAGACAAAGGGGAGTCTGCACTCTGCCCAGGTACCCAGCTCTGAGGGATAAGGGGACGGAGTCCCGCCCCTCCCCACCCATCCCTCACTCCCTGACCTTCTGGCCATCGAGCAGCACACGGTCTCCCAGGCGCAAGCCCAGCGCGCTGAGCATGAGGTTGCCTGGGACGTTGTCATAGTTGGGCAGCGTAACCTTGGGGAGGGAGCAAGACAGCGGCACAGCCTCCTCCAGCAGTGTCCGCAGCTCCTTGGCCACCAGCGCCGCTTCGGCCTTGTCCAGGGACATGTCCATAGGGTCCGGGACCACCTCTGCTGGCACCTGTCCCTTTCGGTTCTAGGGGCCAATAGGAAGAGAGAGGACAGAGACTCAGTGACACAGGCTGTGCCTCCAGGGAGGCCATGCCCCAGAAACCTGGCATCTGGGGTGAAGCGGGGGTGAGACTAGGTCATACCCTGGGCCAACACAGGAATAAGAAGGGACAGGGCATTAAGGTGCAGACCCTTATAGAAGCCCATCCCAGGCCCTGGGCTGGGGATGTGTGTCAAGGAACTGAGGGTGGGACGGGAGTGAAGTCAACAGGGACTGGGGGACACATCTCAGTGCTGTAGGTCATGCCCTCAGGGAGGCCACGCCCCCAGACCCCAAACCCAGAACGGTGCCATGTGGGAATGAGCACTGAGAGTGGGCTAGTGTGGCACAGGTCAGGGGTCAGGCTCTGGGCCAATGGGTAATGAAGACAGGCAGGGCCTCAGGGCCAAGACCATGTCCCCGCAAGATACCCATGCCTGGGATGCAAGGTGACTGGTATTAGAAGTGAGACTTGGTAAAAGAGGGATCCTGGGTCAAAGATCATACTGAGGGCTTATGGGGGGCCGAACGCTCTCATTCACAGAGGGCCTCAGTTCTGCTTACGTCAGGATCTCTAAACGCTGTCTACACGGCCACAGATCGGCCACGATTGAAAGAAAAGATCCTCCTTGCTGGATGAACCCGGGCAAGTCCCTTAATCGCTCTGCCTCAGTTTGCCCATTGTGAAAAACGGCTCGTAACAGACTTCACCAGATTCATAATGAGCGCTAAGCAAGCTCCAGCTCACGTTTCATTTGTTGAATGTACAGATGATTTCTGTATATTTTAGGAACCTTGAGAAAAGCAGCTGGTTCTGGCCCCCCTCATCCTCTGCAGAGACCTGCTGGCGGAGTGGGAGCAGGGAACGGGGCTGGGCCAGGGGGGCAGTACCCGAAGCGCGGGGTTGGCACCGTGCTCCAGCAAACACTTGGCGGCACCCAGGCACAGGTTGGAGGCAGCGATGTGCAGAGCTGAGCCGTGGTTGAAGTCACTGCACGTGGAGTTCACCACTGAGAGGTGGGCAAGAGGAGGGTTCCGCTGAGCGCCCTTGGGACCCCGCCCCTCAGTTACCTCCTCACCCGCCGGCCCCAACGCCTCTGCATCCTCCCCTCAGAACCCCGCCTCTCGCCTCTCGGCCACGCCCCTCACCAGGTCTTGCCAGTCCCTCCCGCCTCCCAGTCTCCTCCTAGCCAGACTTCAGTCCTGCCAGCACTCGGGGCCCCGCCTCCCCACACCCTGGTGCTCCTCTTCCGGCCCTCCTCCCCGCCCCCGTGGGTCCCGCCCCCTCCGTCAGGCTCCTCCCCCTTACCACGTGGCCGGGCACCCTTGAGCAGCACGCGCACGAGATCCGGGACGTCGAAGTAGGCCGCGTAGTGCAGCGCGTTCATGTTGGTCCAGCGGCTGCGCAGGGTCACGTCGGCCCCCAGCGCCAGCAGCTGCTGTGACAGGCGCACAGCCGCCGCGGGGTCCCCTGCACGAGGGCCCAGGTCAACTTGGGACCCCTCCTCCAGAGCGTGGGCCCAGGGCACGGGGAGGATCCTGAGCCTCAGGGGCTGCACTTTGGGGTCTTAGGCTCAGGGTTCAGAACGGGAGTCTTAGGACCTGGGCTCTGGTGGTTTTAAGGGCGTCAGGTCTGAGGACCTGGGGTTTGGAGGTCTGGGCCCTTACCAACTCCGTGAGCCCCAGCCTTGCATGCATAATGGAGCAATGTCATGTCGGTCAGCCCATCACGATCATTCACATGGCATCCTCGACGCAGAATCTGGGGTACCAGGAGACAGAGGGTTACCCAAACATGTTGAGGACCCCTCCCCACTCTCCCTGGCTTTCCCAGCACCCTTACCTCATTGCCAATGATGTCAATCTTGTGCTGGACTTGGGGCACCCACTGGCGCACAATGGCGAACAGCTCGGGGATGGTGGTCTGGGGGTCAAACAGAATCTCCTGGCACGCCGGGTCATTTGGGTCGAAGAAGGTGAAGGCTGGGGTGCGAGAGTCCAAAGTCACCCCAGGCAAGCTGCCCATCCCCAGGCAAGGGGACTCCAGGTCTTTGCCCTTAAGGCCTTCTAATGCAGTGGTTAAGAGCTACGGCTGCTAAGCCAAAAGCTGGGCAGTTCAAATCCACCAGCCGCTCCTTGGAAACCCTATGGGGCAGTTCTGCTCTGTCCTATAGGGTCGCTATGAGTTGGAATCAACTTGACGGCAACAGGTTTTTGTTTCTTTAATGCAGGGTCTCCAACTGCTGGCATATGGGCCATAGTCAACCCACAGGCATTTTCATTTTCTGTGTTTCAAAATCAAGAGGTTTCACATAAAAATCTGGATGCCTGGTGTGTCTCAAAAAATTGGAAGATGAGGCAGTTCCCGTATAGCAGCAAGCCCACCCTCTGAAGCAGTGTGGTGGGGAGAACAGCACTCCAGAGCCTGGGTGCCCTAGGGGGCCGGTGCTGCCCTAGCCCACTGCTGCCCTGGCAGAGTGGGGGCACACTTTGCCCAAATCTCCAGAGTAAAAATTAAAATGCCAAAATCCTGCCTTGTAAGAAAGATCTCCCAGTCTTCAGATACTGTGCAGTCCACCGTATCCATGGGCAGGGTGCATGCTGTGGCCAGCCAGTGACCCCAGAGGAATGCCGAGCTCCTTGCACTAGGCTGGGGGAGCAGGGGCAGTGGTTAGTGCTGCCCTCTGGAGCAACACGAGCAGCCAGCAGCGCCTGGCACGGGGCAGGAGCTCTCTGAATGAATACGTTAATAACTGGATCACACAGAGCCCAGTGAACTGCCGTACAGGTGTGTCCAGGAATTAGTCCATGTGCCCCTTTAAAACCCAAATCATGTCATGGTCTTCCTTGGCTCGGAACCCTCCTCTGGCTCCCCCTGCGCTCAGCGTGGAAACCTGAGTCCTTACTATGGCTCACAAGGCCCTGCACAGTCCGCCCCCTCCCCTGCCCTGCCCTCTCCCCCTCACTCTCCTCTCCAGCCACAATGGCCTCCTCTGTCCCTCCCATATGCCAGGCAAATTCCTGCCTCAGGGCCTTTGCACCTGCTGGCCACCCTCCTCCCCACCCCACTAGGAAGTCTTCCTCCAGATCTCTACAAGGCCTTGCAGATCTTTGCTTAAATGCCATCTTCTCAGAGAGGCCTCCCCTGATGTCCCTGTCTGAGTCAGCACCCTTCTCTACCTCGTACCCTATCTTTTAATCATACCACATAGTTCTGCTTAACACGATTTGTTTATTTCTCCCTGCCTTGGCCCTTCTTCTGTTCCTCCCTTTCTGTCCTCCTCCTTTCTCACTCGTCTGCCTCATTGGAGTGTGAACACCATTATGTCTTACCTGCCTTGTTCACTGCCTTATCCCCAGCGCCCAGCACTGTACCCGACACACAGTAGGTGCTCAATCTCTACTGAGTTAATGTACAAACGCACAGTTCCCTCACGGAACCCACCTTAGCCCTCTCTGTGCCTTAAACCACATTTCCAGATTCCTTTACACTCTGTGAGCAAACCCTGTTCTACAAACAGGGTTCCTTGGGGACCCCGGCCTAGACCCTCTTCCCAGTGGACCACAGGCTCCGGTCACATCCAGCCACGTTTCCAAAGGAGGTTTAGCAGTTTCCTGGGGTGGATCCCCCCACCCTGCACCCCCAAATAGCTTTCTTATTCTTATATCAGACTGAAGTCAGCTTGTAGCCTCTCTAAGCCACCTGGCAGGTGCTTTCTCTCTGAACCTGGTGCCTCGTTTCTGAACCTCACAGTTGCTGGGGACTCTCGGCCAAGGTCTTCTAAAATTTCTTTCTATATCCAATGCTGACTAAGTTCCGGCCCTCTTTACTTAGTAGCCCTGGTGGTGCAGTGGTTACAGCGCTCGGCTGCGAGCCAAAAGGTCAGTGGTTCGAACCCACAAGCAACTCCATGGGAGAAAGATGCAGCAGTCTGCTTTCTTAAAGATTACAGCCTTGGAAACCCTATGGAGCAGTTTTACTCTGTCCTGTAGGGTCACTAGGAGTCAGAATCGACTCCACGGCAATGGGTTTAGGGCTTTTTGTTTACTCAGTAGCCACAGGGAGCTTTTGAAAATATAAATCAGACCCACCACTCCTCCGTTTTTAAACCTCCATCGTCCACTGTTGTCTCCTCATCACAGAAGACATCCACAGTCCTCACTGTGGCCTTCGAGGTCCTTCCAGATTTGACCCTTACCAACCTCTCACCTTAACTCTCATCACTCCTGGGCTGCAGCCCCATGACCTTCTTTCTGTTCCAAATTCAAGCCAACCTCAGGACATTTGCACCTGCTGCTGTGCCCGGAACCCTTTCTGCAGCTCTGCCACGGCTGATTCCTCCTCATACTCTGTCTCAGCTTAAACGCTACCTCCTCTGAAAGCTGCTGTCTTAGTCACCTAGTGCTGCTGTGACAG